ATCATGCTTTGAGAATCACCATCCTCGCGTGACGGAAACTGTGGATGAAGGCGGCAGGCTTTGCCAGTAAATCCAGGATCCGTGTCCCGGGCTCGCTTAGCGAGGTCGTCGGCAAGCTCTTGTCCGAGCTCAGCCACAAGCGTTCTGAATGTTTTCCATATGTAAACAATCTCGTGGCTTACCTCGTGGGTCTTCCTGTCATGCCCAGGGGTCTAGATCTATATAGCTCCATATTTAATTATAATTCTAACATCCATTCCTAGGCCTACGGCCGATTTGCCAACGGTGTCCCTGCTGCCTGACGCTCAGCACAATCGTGCTCTCCTTCCACTCTCCCTTGCACGATAAGAACTGGATCCACATGTCGTGGAACTTGCTTTGGCGAGCCAGGCCTCTAGTGAGAACAGATGTCCGAACTGTATAGGCTATTTAGGGATTAAGCGTTTAGAGGTCTATGGTTTCGGCATTATAGGGGTTTAGGCCTATGATATATAGGTTATATATTGCATACATGTATATATATATATATATATAAACCCTTATAATAAAACACTTCATCTCAAGGGCTCTTGTCGGCTTTCTTGAACTCGGCCTTGACAGCATCCGGGGCTTTGTCACCTGGTTCAATTATAATATATGGAATGCTTCGGGGATTATCGCATATAGTCTAGTGTCTAGTGTCTGGGGACCCTACTCCTGATCGATCTGTAGAACCTGGAATACAACGCTCCAGCGCTCAATGGCTGCCCAAACTTGTCGCATCTCCACTGGATCTCGGAGGGGTTCGGGCTCGGCGGAGCCTTTGAGGGACTCACATTGGTGGCCTTGGTGGGACTGCGGATGCCGGACTGCTTGGCCTTCTGGGGTGTACCTGCTGGGGTTTGGAGTGCGCGCTCCAGCTCTGCCTGGACTTCGTCCTGTGTCACGTGGCCTTTTGGCGGCTGTGTCGATATCTCCAGAGTCACCATTCCACCGGGGCCCTCCGACTGCTGCTGTGTCTTCGGAATCGCTGCTGCTGGACCCTCCGACTGCTGCTGCTGTGTCTCCGGAATCGCTGGAACTGGGCCCTCCGACTGCTGCTGTGTCTTCGGAATCGCTGCTGCACCGGGGCCCTCCGACTGCTGCTGTGTCTCCGGAATCGCTGGAACTGGGCCCTCCGACTGCTGCTGTGTCTCCGGAATCGCTGCAACTGGGCCCTCTGACTGCTCTTGAGTCTCCGGAATCGCTGCTGCGG